GATTCAAGTTGTAGTCATTGTATAATTAATAAAAGAATTATCCCAGAAAAATATATAATAAAGTCAAAAGAACCCATAGAAGCCCAACAAATGGATGGAAATTTTTATATTTATCAAGATATATTAAAACCAGCAAGAATGTAAATGAATGAATAAAATGCGATACATTAACAGAATCAGTTACAAGCTAGCTCATAAGAGCTCGCATATATCATTTTTTCCTAAATGACCGAATCGTCCCCAAAGTCTTAAGAGAAATCTACAAATATTTCTGCCTAAGAACAGAAAAGGTATACAAATTCAAATATCTCCCACTCAAATAGCCATTTCACCTATTGATCCAATTTAAGTATCAAAACTAGTGAAGTTAGGAGGCAAAATCCTGGCTAGGTGAGAGGAATTTATTGATTTGATTTCTATTATCAACAAATTGGCGCCTTCTGTTAGAATTTAGAGCAATCTGTTATAGTTGAGAAATCTTTGAGATCTGAAAAAAAGAGCCCAATGGAAGGAGATCCGAAAGAAATAAAAGCATTGAAGATTGGAACAAGATAGTCCAGTGATAATTTGGCCACTAGCGATGCTAATCCAAAAAGAAAATGGGAAGAAACACCGACAAGAGTTCTGGCCAACATTTCTTTTATCAGGACCATCGCCAATGGAAAAGAACTCGTACTGCGAAGACAATGCAATAAATGGAGAAAAGCCTCAAAGCACTAATAGTAGAAAATGTATATATGTGTGCAAATATGAGAGTTCAAGGACGAATTGGCAGGATGAAAATGGCTAGAGGAGAAACTCTCATTATTTGAAGTACAACCAGTCCAACCATTGAGAAAGCCAGAGAATGGAAAATCGTAGCAATCTTTATAATAATCACCCTATGAAGAATCTGAAGGCCAATCTGCAATAAAAAGGTATGATGAGAAGCAAGGTATGACATACCAATTACCGTTAGACTTAATCAGCAATTGGCCATCATGGAAACAAGCAATCATATGAACATTCAATGAAGGAAGGATGAGATATGCATCAACTAAGAGGCTAGATAGTGTGAAACAAAGAGTAGGAGAATCTCTCAAGAGTTATTTCACACGTTACAAAACTAAAATGATTACCATCGAGGCTATACCAGATGAAGAGATGAAAGATGCCTTGTGGAATGGCTTGTTAGAGAAAATGCTCTCCTGGCAAAAAGCCATCAAAAGGTATCTGTATTCTTTCAACCAATTAATAGATCTAAAGCGCAATGAGATCCAGGTAGATGATATTCTTGAGAATCAAAAGAGGCAGAAGAAAGGGCACCGGGGAGAATTCAAGATAGAAGCTTTTACATTCGCATCTAGATGGCCTAGATCACAATATCATCGCTCGGATGGGCCCAAGGGCAGAAGGCGTACATTCTCTATAGCATCCTCTCAAGTCACAAACAAAGCGTATCTACCCCTTGAAAGGCAAAAGTCTAAATTTGGCAAAGTTCATTGCACCAGAGGCCGTGATACGAACGAATACTTTGAAGTGCTCAAAATGGTCAGGATGCGAATCGGACAAAAGGACTTGTCTATGGCATCGAGGAGTCAAAAGCCTTCATGTCCAGCGAAAATGTGGAATAAGGAACTGAAATAAATGTGTGCAGACTTATCGCCAGTGGTGATCGACATCGCAAACCCTCAATCGTGAAGAGAAATTAATATTATAATCAAAACCCCTTGTACAAGAGAAGGTATAGGGAACACGAACCAAACATAAAAAAAGTGGCATGTGCTAAAAAAATGCTAGATTTGAGGTAATCTTGAAAACTCGCTTCTCTTTTAATTATATTCGATAATAATGTAGGATCATTTCCCCATGGCACCCATGGTTGGATATCTCATCTAATTTAGTAGAAAAGGATTTGGTTCTAGAAGAACAAATCATCTGGACAATAAAGGTGGATAATGAGACAAAGTAATCAAAATAGGGAAACACATACTTGAAAAACTCTTTTTAGGAAAGCAAGTATATG